TTCCTTTCCTTTCCTTTCCTTTCCTTTCCTTTCCTTTCCTTTCCTTTCCTTTCCTTTCCTTTCCTTTCCTTTCCTTTCCTTTCCTTTCCTTTCCTCTTTTTTTCTTTAATTTCACTTTTATTCTTAGCACTCCCCTCTCGGAGCTTCCCTCCCTAGCTACCAGCACTGAAGCACTTTCGGCTTTTACCCCTTGGGAACTGGCCGCGGGACACACAGGTGGGATGGGTTTGGGTCAGAAAACGCTCAATCTGCTGCGTGTAGAAAAGCTCTGCAATTCTCCCTGCTCCCTTAGCAAAACAGGGCCTGGAATGGGGGGGACCTGGAAGGAGGGATGCATGGATGGAGGGATGCATGGATGGATGGAAGGAATGATGGACGGATGACCTGAATCTTATTATCTTGTAAGCTTTATTCTCAAATAAATGAAAATATGCTTCAATGCAAGCAGAAAGTTCTGTTTATTGGGGCTTTTGGCTCGTGGTGCTGTGCACGAGAGGGCCCCGGGGAGGTGACACTCCGGGCTAGACACGTCCCTGGCCATGACCCCAACCCGCACCCGTGTCCTTCCCACCCCAAAGAACCTCGTGCCTGGTTTTACAGCCCTGTGCTGAGGCTCGGGGCGCTGGGACGGGGCAAAAGGAGAGCCCAGAACACCCCAAAACAGGTGCTGAGCAAAGGAAGCTCCCTTGTGTTGGGGTGCGACTGGCGCTTTCACCCCATTTTCTGCTGGAAAACACCCGTGGGACACGAACTAAAGCAAAAAACCCAAGCTGCCCCTTCTTCGGTTTTGCAAACCTGGAGGAAAGCCAGGGAKGGTTAATAAAGCCAAGGAGCCTCGCTTCGCTCTTCCTCAGAGGAAAAAGGTGACTTAAACCAAACAAAACCAAAATCCATAAAACCACGTATTTTTCTACATGACTTCAAAAAGAAAAAGGTGTCTTTTCCCCCAGTTATTCTCCCCTCTGGTTTGCTAGRCACTCTTTGCTGTTTGGTGGGGACCAAGTGGTAGATCAGCCTCTATTATATTCTTTAACAGCCTTTCAAAGCAATCAAATCACTACAGTTTCCAGGGATAAAAAGCTCCGCTTTTGCTGCATTAAAACAAATACATTAAAAAAAAATACATAAATAAGCAAAACCAAGTTGTGTGTGCAATTCTTTATTGTTTTTACCCAATTCAGAACATCTGGCTGTGATAGGGAGGGAAGAGAGGAGGAAGGGGAAAGGTTCAGCCACTTCAATGGCACCAATTAAGTAATAATAATAATTTGTATTAATGCTATCTATCGGGTGCTATGGATGGTGCTGCAAAACTCTTCTTGAAGGGAGAGCTTGGGGGTGCATTTTGCACGAGCTTGGGGGCATTTTGCAAAGATTTGGGGGAGTTTTGCAGAGTTTTGGGCTGGTTTGGGAAATTTTGACAGGTTTTGCARAGGCCTGGAGTATTTTGCAAAGGCTTGGAGTATTTTGCAAGGGCCTGGGCTGCTCTGTGGAGGCTCTGGGGGCGCCGCATGCCTAGAAGTCGATGTTCTTGAAGTGGAGCGAGCAGCGGTAGCGGCCGTCGCCGAAGCGGGAGCAGGTGAAGCTGGGCGAGCAGGGGCAGCTGTGGTGCTGCCGCTTCCCCAGAAAAGGCACCTGGGGGAGGAGAAGCATCAAAGCTCCAGCCAGGGAGCTACAAAAAAAGAGTTTTTTTTTTCTTTTTTTTGGCTTTTTGCAAAGGGGAAAAATGAGCTTTTCCTGCTTGTGACCAAGGGAGATGAGGGGGAGCCAGCAGGGAGATTTTTTTTCTCTGCCCTTCGATACAACCCGGGGAAATGGCCTCACCGTAACCCCATAAACCTTCCTGGGAAAAGTGCCTTTTTTTTCTGTGAAGAAATTCCCACGGGATGCAGGCAGCGCTGGGCAGCGGGTGTCACAGGGGCCAGGGCTGAGTTTAGGTCAGATTTTATACTGGGAGATGAAGCAGCAGCATCTGGAAGAAGCTGGAAGGACCTTTCCACATCCCCCTTTGGGCAAACAAAGCGTCAGCAGCCGCTTAAGCTTGGAGAATTTATCCCTGCTTCTGCACCAGCGAGGGATTTAATGGAGACGGGGGCTGAGATGAGCTCCTGATCCCTCCGACCAGGATCGATGGCTGCGGCGGCACCAAATTCCTGGAGGAATTGCAGGAATAAATCACCGGCAGAGCTCAGCGCCCGGGTGATGGACGGGCCAGCAGCGGGGGTGAAGTGGGGCTCTCGCAGGGAGGGTTCGGAGGCATCCGAAGCTGATGTGCTCCAGATGTTGTCGCTATTTGGGAGCATTTGGTGCAATTTTGCCAGTGCCAACCAGCACCAGGTTTCGTTTGCGTTTGCATTTTATTTGGGCTTCGTTTGCACTTGCCCGCTGGCTTGGGCCGTCCCATCCCACCCCACTCCAAGGTGGGAGCGCTCCGGCTCTTTCCTGGGTACCTTGTGGCTGGAGGGGTGGCACTCGTCGCCGGCGCGTCCCAGCGGCGTGCACATCCGCAGGCCCCGCAGCCAGAGGCTCACGGCGCAGCACGTCCCGCTCCCGCACTGCGCGTCCCGCTCGCAGGCCTGCCGAGAGCCACAGCAGAGGGAAAAACCCCTTTCCCAGCCCATTTGCCTCATCCCGAACCCCTCTCCTCCTGCGCAATATTGTGGCCGCGTTGGTTGCCCACCTGGCACAAAGTGTGAGTCCAGTCCAGGGATCCCCAAAATCCCACTGGGCAAAATCCCACCCCACCAGTTCCCTCCACTCCAAGGACTTATCCCAGTTCCAGAGGGATAAAGACAACACAGAGCTGACTAATAAAGACAACCCCAGCTCCATCTTCCTCCCCACTGCTGCTCTCCCACCCCCATCAGGCTTTCCCTGMTGAATTTTTCCATTTCCCCAGATTTTCCCATTTCCCAGAGAAGAGAAACCTGCAGGAAAAACACAGACATTGGACTAGTATTTGGGAACAACTGGAATTTGCTAAAGGAAGAAAAGTGAAGGAGTGAGCGATAAAGTGCAAAGAGGCCCCAAACCAAAGCACATAGAAAGCTATAGCAAACTTTTCCATCTCTTTTTCTATTTTTTCTTGTGATCTCGCTGTAAATTAAAGTGGAGGGAAGAAACAGGGGGTTCATTTTCCCTCTTCTTTGCAGACCCTTTGGCTTTGGGCAGCGCTGCCGGGCTTAGCAGCAGGGGCAGCGCCCGCAGCGTTGGCTTTTTCAGCGTCACCCCGGGAATTCAGCACGGAAAGGCAAAGTCAGGAGCAGATATAACCCCATGCCCATTGCTAAAAATACACATATATATCAAAACATATGCTAAAAAGGCGGCTTTAAGGTAAAGCAGGAGAAAGGAGCGGCGCTGGGAGGGTGTCTTTGGGGCGCCCTGAGGTCCGTGCCCCGCTGTGCCCGTGCCCGACTTACCCCCGTGATGACGGCGCAGCGCTGCCAGGGCAGCAGCAGCAACAGGCAGACGCCCTGCAGGACCCTGCGCATGGTGCCGGCCCGCGCCGCCTCGCCGGCTCTGCCGCGCRCCGGCCCGCTCGTCCTATATAACCCGCCGCGCCGCTGCGGGATTTTTCCGTGTTTTCCCCCCCCCAATCAGCTCAGGGGAAACCGATGAGACCTGAATGTCTAATGGCAGAAAAGACAAATTAACAAAACACCCCAAAAATATATATAAATAAGAGAGCATCRTCCCGCCCTCACCAATCACTCGGGGTTATTTAAGCGAGCACAGCTGCGGGTTGCAAGCACACCTATAGACACATCCATTTCCCTCCGACTGGTGCACCTAAGAGAGAAAAAAAATCCTTATTTTTWCTCTTTTTTGATTATTCAGCCAAAGCAAAATGCGCAGGGAAAAAAAATGAGCCTGGAAATGCACATCGGGAGAGCCGGGAGTGAGGTGGGATGGGTGATGGATACCCTGCCAAAAGAGAGGCTGGGTGTTTAGGAGAGTGGGGAGGGAATTAGGTATTTTTCAGTGGCAGGAGAGTGTTTATATCTTCATATCATTTGTCAATACKCCGATTTACAGTTTGAAATAAACTCCTTGCCGATGGACGCGCAGCCCCAGGGGCTTTTGGCCCAGGCGAGGTCTCCACGAGGCCGAGCGGCCTCGGTGTTTAATTAGTCGGACGCTAAAGCCAGACATGCTGCCCTCCCCATCAATAAGGGATTAATCTGCTCCGGGGCTGAGCTGAGAGGCAGCGAGTGGCGGCGGCCGCTGCCTCATTGGCACCACGGAGCTCCACGGAGCCTCCGCAGCGCCAAATCCTCCTCCTCCTCCTCCTCCTCCTCCGCGCGCCGGGGTCACCGCTGCGCAGGGGGCAGTTTCTGCCTCTGCCCCTCTTTATTGCCCCCTCCACCCTCATCATTATTTATTTGGGGAAAAAAAAAAAGAAGAAAAAAAAAAAAAAAAGGCCATTCTGCTCTCAATCTTGGTTTGAATGTTTTTGTGGTTTTTTTTTGTTGTTTGATTAATTTTTACAGAGCTTTTTTTTTTTTTTTTTTGAGGGGGGAGAGAGCATTTTAAAGAAGGTGTTCTTTTGTATTTTCTCTTCTTGTATTTGTTTTGGGGGATAATTTTTGTTTTTTTGTWTTTTGGGTGTGGAGAAAGTGGGTGTTTGGGGGAGTTTTCAGGGTTTTCTTTTTTTTTTTTTTTTCCTTCCGGGGAAGATGCTTGCTGGGCATCATTTTTCCTTAKGTAAGKSCACGCAGGCCGGGTTCGCAGGGCCCCTCTCCCGGTGCAGCCCGTGCCCTGCCCGGCGCTCCGCGCCCCGAGCAGCCCGGGCCGCCGCTGCGCGCTGCGGGGTTGACCTGCTCTCCGCGCAGCCCGCCTTCGCGCCGCGAGGTCTTTTGGCCCTCTCGAGCCGCCGTCTACTCTGGTCACGTGGGCGACGCCGGTGCCAGGAGCCGGGCGGAAGTGGCGGGACGCGGGCCCGGCGCCATGGAGGGGAGCCTGGAGCAGCACCTGGAGGACACGTACGGGGGCCGGGGGGGTCCCGGGGGGTCCCGGGGGGTCCCGGGGGGGTCCCGGGGCCTCCGCGGCCGCTCACGCGCCGCCCTCTCGCCCCGCAGCATGAAGAGCCCGGCCGTCGTGGGCGTCCTGTGCACCGACTCGCAGGGCCTGAACCTGGGCTGTGAGTGACGCAGCGCGGCGGGCAGCGGGGCCTGGGCCGCTGGGGGACCCCCCGCGCACCCCCGCGCTCAGTGTGGGGACCCCGCGCCCTGCTCCCGCTCTGGAGCCCCCCGACACCGACCATCGGGGCCCGCGGGCCCTGCTCGCCTTAGGGACCCCCCTGTCCCCCCCAGCTGGGGGGGCGGCGGGCCCTGCACCCCTTGGGGCTCTGAGCAGTTCTGGGGTGGGGGGCCCGGCTCCCTCTCTAGAGCCCCCCCCTTGTTCCCTCCCACACCGGGGACACCAGGTCCAGGGCCCCCTCTAGAGCCCCCTCCATGTCCCCCCCTCCCAGTTTGGGGTAGGGGCCTTTGCTTCCTCTCAGGAGCCTCCCTTTGTTCCCTCCACTTTGGGGACACAAGGTCCTGTCCCCCCCCCAGCTTGGGCATCCYCTTAGAGCCCCCCCAAGGGGCACTAGGCCCTACAGAAGCCCCCCCACTTTGGGGTCCTGCTGCCCCAGAGCCCCTCCCCACCGGCCCTGGTGCTCCCGCTCCTCCTCCCAGAGCCTCCCAAGGGGACACAGGGACAGACAGGACCCCCCCCCGACCTGGAAAGCGGAGCCGTGAGGAGCGGGAATCCCGGCTTCACCCGCGCCCGTCCCGCAGGCCGCGGGACCCTCTCGGACGAGCACGCCGGCATCATCTCCGTCCTGGCGCAGCAGGCGGCCAAGCTCACGTCCGACCCCACCGAGACGCCCATCGTGTGCCTGGAGGCCGACAGCGGGTGAGCGGCCCGGCCTCGGCGCCCGGCACAGCAGCAAATCCCCGGGATCTTCCGGAGCGGGAGCTGGAGGAGCGGCCGGAAGCCCCTCGGGATTCTCCCTGCTTCTCCCCCTTGGCACTTCTCTGCTTCGTTCCAGGAACATCATGATCCAGAAGCACGACTGCATCACGGTGGCAGTGCACAAGCTGGCATCCTGACCGGGGGGACCGCCGCGGCCCCCCTGCCTCTGACCGAGCTCTTCCTCGCCGCACAGCCACTCTCCTCCGCTGCTCCTCTGCAGAACGTGCTTGTAGTAACCAAATCCAGGCCGCAACCTCTCCCTCTTCACTGCTCCCCAGCAGCTCCCGGGTTCTGCAACTCGTGGCCTGGCGYGTGGGATGGGACACGGGGCGCTCGCTGAGCTTGTGCAACCATCAGACAACACGAGGTGTGCGTGTGTGTTTGGCCCTTGTTGGAGAAACCAATAAAGGACCTGCAAAAAAACAGGCGTTTGCTTCTCTTCGCCCTAACAGAAGGAAGGGGATGGTTTCCAGAGCCAGGTAACACCTCCTACCCCCTTCTCCCTTGCATTTCTCTGGAGAGGTGAATAAGGAATTGAATTAAGGGAGGCTCTTCCCATAGCGAAGACACACAGACTTTCCTAGGAAKTTTTCTTGGGAAATGTTTACCCTCCCCTGGTTAAACGTCCTACTTGAGAGTTACTCACTCACCCCGTGTCTGACTGAAGTTCAAACTTAAATTTGTTGCCCTGACTGCCCCTGATGCGCATGAACACCTTCACAAACCCAGGCGGTTTTCTCCTTGCAGAACCAATCCCACGGAAATCCCGTGTCCCTCRCAGTCCTGGTTAACTCTAACTCTGCCTGTGTCTCAGAGTGAAACAGAAGCGGCCTGCAGCCCTGCTTAGGCTTGAAGCTCTAGGAAGGAAACTTCACTTTGAGCTCTAGGAAACGGGGCTGGATGAGAAGATGGAACCGTGTTTACACTGGGGTAAATACAGGGGGMCGCGAGATGTGTCGGTGAATTTCGCAGGGTTTGTAGTATGTTCATCTCTAGAGGAAGGCCCTTCGTCCTGTGGGATAGCCCAGCATCAGCACCACAACGTGGCAGTTTTATCTCATTTCATGCTGATTTAGTGACAGGTCAAACAGAAAAAACAAACAAACAAAAAGCCTGCAGGAGGAAGCCCAGGGATGATTTTAGCGGTGTTGGTGCCTGTYTGCAACAGAAACACCGAGGCAGCCCCGAGCGCTGCTCGACTTCCAGCCCTGTGGAAGAGCGGCCGTCCTGGCGAAGCTGGAAAATAAAACCTTTCCAAATGCCGTCCTCTTAAGCGAGGGAAGGCCGCTTCCCTAATTCCCTAAGAGCTCCGTTACATGGCCCAGCAGCGCGGGAAAGCCGTCCCAACAGCTCCGCTSTCCTAGGGAGCCGGCAAGCGGAGCTTGGCTCCAATCCACCATTGCCACCTACTGCTCTGCTCCCTGTCTAGCAGGCGGCCAAGGCTGGAGCCTTGTGGCCTTTCCCTGTAGCGCTTCCCATTTCCTCCGGGCAGGATACAAGCTCTGCTAAAGCCTGGCTTTCCTGCCGCCGGACCCAGGGAAGGGGAGGGACTCCCGGGCTCGGAGGCAGGGAAGTCGGCGCGCTGCCTCCCAGGAGGAGGAAGAGGAGGAAGAGCTCGCCCGGCATTTCGCGGGCTCCGCTTTTTGCCTCGGGATAACTCAGCTTTGCGGCTCGCCGGGAAGAAGGAGCCCACTGTTCCCACTGCAGCCGGGCACAGACACGGGAACAGACCTGGGGGCACGGAGACAGCGAGCCGCCTTCGGGAGCAAATGAAGAGAAGCTCTTTATTCCCCTTCCCAAACTCCTGCTTTTCGGGCCACTTCGCACCATGCATCAACAAACTGGTAAGGAGAAGTTTCAGGTTCACCAGCTGTCGGGTTGAGCCACTTGGGGACGTCACCAATAGATGTTTGGGACCGGAGAGAGGAAGGACAGAAAGGAGATAAGGAGCTAGTGCTAGGAAACAAGTCTAAGAGTTCAGAGATAGACCTAGATAGATGGTGAAACCACCCCGTCCTTGCATAGCTACGTGCAGCAAGCTGCCTGGCCCCCAAGAAGCCCTAAATGCTYTTGCACAGCCAGAATAACTTGGGGGGGGGGGGACACCCAAAATTAAATGTTTGCAGCTGATAACACACAACTCCACATCTATTTGGGGAAAAAGGTTGGCAGGAGCATCACCAGCCTCAAAAAGCGTCTCGAGGTTGGATGAGCCAATGCTAAATACCTTCTTAAGAGAAAAGCCAAGGACAAAAAGGTGACATGAAAGCAGCAGCTTGCCTGGCTTGCTCCGCACGTTAATCGACACACCATCGATGACACCAGGCGCTAACGCGGCGCCAAATTCTCATTTCCAGGGGCAGGGAGAGCGGCGGAGAGCGCGAGGCAGCCGCCGGCAGCGGAGGAGAAGGGAGCAGACACAAAAGCAGCAGCTCCGGCCGACGCGTGGGCTTGGGCCGTGGTGCTGCACTTCTTCCTGGTGAGAGGAGCAGCTTTGGAGCTTGGAGCAAACCCCAAGGACCTGCTCATCCTTCCCTGCACGCGTGGCATGGGCGATAGGACCAGCAAAGTTAAGCTCTAGCCAAGAGGCAATGGGGTTTAGCTGTACGGATGCGGTGAAATGTTGTGGACCGACCTTGGCGCTGCTTYGCTGCAGGCCAAGCAAGGAGCGGTTGCTGCCTTCAACCGCAGCCTCGGCCATTCCGAGTTAGCTGCTGCCAATTATTAACCTGGCTGTGGCCGGGGAGGCAGGAGAGGGTTGGAAATAATTTGAGGACGAGCGCTGGCCTTGGCGCTTGGGGCAGGATTAGCCTGGGAAAGCTGCCCCGGGCAAACCCCCCCGCGCSCCCCTCTGGACCACGTCCACTGGAGTACAACCACCAGTGGAGATTTAGTAAAAACACCCAACAGAGCTAACGGGACTCGCTCTTTTCCATGGGAAGCRCAATCAGGTTTGTACAGATGGGTCTGCAGGGCTTTTAAGCTGAAACTCCAAGCGTGGTGAGCAACTGGGCCATCACAAGCCTTCTGCCACCCTTCTCCTACCTCGTGTTACATGAGCTCGCTTGTCCCGGTTTGTCCCTTCCCTAGCGCAAAGAAGCGCACGTGTCCAAGGGACACGCGAGACACGGCCCAAGCGGCTCCTGCCCTCCCCTTATCTCGCTCCTCTCTGGATTCAGGTGAACGTGCTCCTCATGGGAATGCTCAAAACCTTTGGAATTTTCTTCGTGGTGTTCCAAGAGGAGGTGGGAGGCTCCTCCGAGCAGATCAGCTGGATCGGCTCCATCATGTCCTCTCTGCGCTTCCTGGGAGGTGAGCGGGAATTGGGAACCACCTGGACTCCAAACAAAGCCCCTTTGCCCCCACGACCTTGATGCCAGGTACAAACCTGGGAGCCCCTGGCTCCGAGCTGAGATAAGGGATGGATCCCTTATCCAACCCGGAGCTGCTGCAAGCCTCGCCTCGCCCCAAGGGCTCTCCTTCTGCTTGCTCTGCAGCCCCCGTGGTCGCCGTCGTGTGTGGCAAGCTGGGCGAGCGGCTCACCTCGGTGGCAGGGGCCGGCCTGGTGGCCGGGGGGTGCCTCATCAGCACGCGCGCCACCAGCGTCCCCTTCCTCTGCGTCTCCATGGGGCTCCTCGCCGGTGAGTTGGCTGCTGCTCGCAAGACGCCGAGTCTTCTGGAGCACCCTCAGCTCCTTCAATGAAACCTGTGGTAGCACCTAGGGGGGTTCCTCTGCTTCCACCCGTGTCCCAGTAGCTCCTCTATATGGGAACACTATAAACCTCCTCCTTGGAGAGGTTGGGAACTGATASAGCCTTGTGCAAATCACCCACATCCATCAACCACTGATGATCCCAMCTGCTCCACCACTGCAGCCCCTTCGCCAGCACCCGGGAGGGACCTCCTTCTTCCCACCCTTCTCCCCACCCTCGTTGCAGGTATGGGCTTCTCCTGCCTTTACCAGGCGGCTGCYGTGATGATGGCCAAACGCTGCAGGAGGCGCCTGGCTTTGTCCAGCGCTATCGCCCGCTCGGGCATGGGGCTCACGTTCCTCCTGGCACCCTTCACGCAGCTCCTCATTGACTTCTACGGGTGGCAAGGTGAGCCCCGCTCCCTCTTCTCCCCTCCTCTCCGAGCGCGGACAGCATCAAGAGGGCATCCAAGAATCCTACAAGACCCCGGGCAGGATAAGCAGCTCTTTTCTAATYATTGGGATTAGATGCACCAAGGAACAACCCAGCCTCCTTGGGATAGTTTGGGGGCATGACCTTTGTTAATGATTAAACGCTCAATCAGTCATTAAGGTTAAATCGGGCATCAAACCAAAAAGCTCAGAAAGTAAAACGGAAACCAAAAGTCCCGACTCCGTTCCCTTTGCCAAACCWGGCTGCAGGCGAGGCGGCTGAAAACAGCAGAGAAACCCTCACGGCGCAGGAAAAGGGCTTTTTGCGCACCCATGTTCCACCACGGAACTTCCACCCAGGGAAGGCTCCTGCGGTTGCTACGAATGCTCCACAATTACTTTCTCTCCTCACGCAGGGACCTTGCTGATATTTGGAGGCATCATGTTAAACCTGGTGCCTTCCAGCATGTTACTGCGGCCCGTGAGCTCCCAGCCACTGCCTGCTAAAAGTGAGAATTCGAGGAAAGATTCGGAGACCTGCATGGGACACTTGGATGAAGCCACCACCAGGGAGACGCAGCTCCAAAACCCAACGGACGTGCCCACCACGGGAGGGCTCAAGGATGGCCCATCGGGCAACCGCTCTCTGGAAGGAGCCGCCGATGCCCAACGGGGCTGCGAGCCACGAGCCGGCACGGGCACCGTGCCGCCTTGCCTCGACTTCTCCCCGCTGAAGGATCCCGTCTTCTTCATCTTCACGTGGTCTTTCCTGTTCAGCCAGCTCGCCTACTTCGTTCCGACCTTCCACCTGGTCGCGAGGGCCAGGACGCTGGGCATCAGCAGCATGGACGCCTCGTACCTGGTCTCAGTGGCTGGTAGGCAGGGACTCCTTGGAAGAGGTTTCTAATCACAGCGGTACCGCGGGAGGAAAGCGGCATCCTGCCGCCTCTGCCCAGAAATAGCCCTAAAATGTCCTGGAATAAATCTGCAGAGAGCAGCCCTTGCCCACCTTCTGTCTATATAGCGATGCCTTCTACACCCAAAGCCTCTCTCACATGGTGGGTGGTTCTTCTCAACCTCAGCTAGCTGATAAACCCTTCCTGGCACTGCAATCACATGCGCCCAACTGCATCTCTGCTATCTGTCCCCCCGGGTCTTCCCACTGCTGTCCCTGCTTTGCCTAAGCCCATAAGCTCCCCAAGTCTCTCAGCGTCCAAAACCTGATGGTTTTGGGGCTGTAAATGGAGAGAGAAATGCAAGTAACTCATAACACAGAGCTCAAGCCATTGGAATTGGGTTATTCCCCKCCAAGGGGGACGAGCCGGCACGCTGGACTCTCCGCCGGCATCGCCCTGAAGTCACACCACGCTAAGAAAGGGGCTCCAACCACACTCATTGCAAAATATTTTATTGTACAAAAATAAACGGCACTGTATAAGGTTTAGAAATGAGGTAGGTTGCAAAGGAATCTAGATTGAAAGCAGAGTGACTCACCTGCAGGTGACACGGGGAATTAAGAAGTAGGAGGATGGTCAGCAAAGTATTAGTTCAGTTAACATTCCTCTGATATTCAGATTATAAATACRTCTATAAAATATAAATATAATATCCACAAGTGTTAACAAAAATGTCTATCCTTTAAAAACGTTGGGATTCTGTCCCTTTTTTGGCTCCTTCATATAAAAAAAATCAGAACAGCTGTAAAGCAGATTTCTTCGCAATATTCTGCTGTCTGTCTAGTCCGAAAATAAAGTGACAAACTGATCTCTCCTTTTTTTAAGGAAAGGTCTTCGAAAGTTTATGCTGACAGCACAGAGCTCAACTTAGCTTTTACAGACCACTTTTGTGCACTCACAGGCATTTTGCAGGCACCGAGGCAAGAAAGGGAACTAAAAAAAAACCCCATGAATTTCTCAGCGGCCTAAAAATGCYTTCCTGTAACTTCTCAGCTTTTCAGTCCTTTGCGGTTACATCCTTAATGCGCACAGGGGGCAGCACGAGGATGCATTTCAGACCAATGTAATGCAAAAAAAAATCCCAAAAACATTAAAAAAAAAGATCTTCTGATGCTGCATGAGCTCTGCTTTCCCCCAGGCATCACGGAGATGGTGAGCCAGCTGCTCTCCGGCTGGATCGCCGATCGGAACTGGACCAAGAGGTACCACTACCACATGACCTACCTCGCGCTCTGCGGCATCACCAACCTGCTCTGCCCGCTGGCCACCACGTTCCCCTGGCTCATGGCCTATGCTGTCACCTTCGGCATCTTCTGCGGTGGCTTCCTGGCGCTGGTGCTGCCTGTGCTGGTGAGTAGGCAGTTTCATTAGAGGGTTAATGCCCAGCATGTCCAGCAACACCCCCGACCCCTTCAACAACGCTGCGGTGCCCTCCACGCTTCCCAGTTCAAGCCACCGCGGAGCCCAAAGGTTCCCCCTCCACCCACCCATTCCCAGCCTGGACAACAGGAATCCTGGAAGTTTATTGCAGACTTCCAGTCACCCAACGACCTGTTTTCCAAATCCTGCTTTCCCCGGGAGCTTGCTCCAGCTCCCAGGCCATGCCCAGGCACACAGGAGCCAGAAGGGACCCACTAACTCTGTTCCTTCCCCATCTCAAGCACTAGTGCTCAGTCAGAGGGTGGTGACCACCAAGCCAGATCATGGAATTATCAGCCGGGCCTGCAAAGCGGGTCGGGCAGATTGCCCTGGTGGGATTCGGATAGGCAAACACCTTCCTTACAGCTCAGCACAGGGTTTAAAACGGCGACAGAAATCCTCGTTATCAGTGATGCTGCAATCAGTGATTTCAGTGCTGACCTCAGGGAGGCGAACAGGAGCCAGGCTGCGGCAGGTCTACGCAGGCAAAGTCCTTTAAAACGCAGCTTCCCACAGACACCTTCTGCACTTAAGCATTAACGTACATAATCCCAATAATTATCGATTTGGTTTTACAAACAGGTAGACCTGGTTGGCGTAGAAAAGCTCCATAGTTACTTGGGATTTTCTGCCTTCTTTGCTGGGATAGCAGCCATCGGGGGACCTCCTCTAACAGGTGACTCCTCTGTCATTATGTATCACACGTACCCACCACAAACATCACCTCTCCAGCCAGGGATAACGTGTACTTCTGGTTGACTCTCATATCCATGTGCATCCAAGGAAGGCTTTTCCATCTAAGTGGAAAAAATATATATATATATATATATATATGTATATATGTGTGAGAAAGGTATTTCTATAGGCAGGAAATACTCATGAACTTGGAGAGCTCAACTAGCAGTGTGGCTAGGAAGCAGAAACCTCACACTGTAGCCACATTTTAATAGGGGTATTATTAACACTGAACTGGATGCAGAGGGACTATAAGGAAGGAAGAGAAATAGGGAGGGGAGAAAAGGAGAGGGAGGTAAAGCAAGGACAGTCCTTGCTTTACCTAAAGCAAGGCCCCCCCACCAAGGAAAGGGCAATGAAGCCCACTGAGAAGTCCTGGTAATCTCTTGCTTTGAAGGAGATTACTCCACTCAGCCTCGAGAGCGCCTGGGCCCGAAGATAAGGAGTACAAAACACCTTTTTTAACTCTGCCAGAAAAGCAACTCAGCTTTGAAGTCTGGCACATTTCAAATGCTCATGAGCAAGTCTCCAGACTCTGCTTACGAGCAAGAACTTGCGCTCTGCTCCATCCACCTCTTATCTTTTCACTGACCCTTCAGCCCTACCTCACACCTGGAAACAGCAGCAGCATCTTCAGCTTGCTCTAGCTTTGCACATTAGAAGCAACAAACAAACAAAGCTGCAAGGTGAAATATCAGCACAAACGATGGCCCATTGCTCACCCGGTGAATATATCAAGCCAAACCAGCAACCCGTTCTTCATTTATTGCTTCCTGCCTCTCCCCGGAGCTGCCTCCTGCCTGCACGGGCACTCGCTCRAGCGCTGCCAAGTGCTCTGCAAACCCCAGCTCCGCGCTCGGAAAGCTCGAGCACCGCTGCGATGCTGCGACAAAAAATGCCATCTCCAATCAATATTYCTCAGCGGGCCAAACTCTGCATGGGGATGCTATTTACAGCAAGAGAAGCATTTAATTGGGAGCGTGCTTTACACTGTCACGGAGATATATAGCCTGCATCAGCTAAGATCTCTTCTGCTGATGCAAGACGCACGTCCACCAGAAAGCAATACCTGTGCAATCATCTCAGGAAATCCTCCTGCGGAATAATGCACTGTACAAAACCAGCTAATTAATTTAGCTCTGTTATCTGTGCATTGCACTTGCTAATGTAGCTATCACTTTCAGCCGTTTCCAACATATTTTCGCTAATTAGAAGAGACTTCTGTTTGCTGATGATGCCAACGAACAGGCTGGCTGAACGTTGCTGGATTTTGTCAAGTAAGCAGGTTTCCTGCTAAAAGGCTCGGATAGAAGGCAGTTGTCTTAATACAGATGAGCTAAATAACTGCSAAATCAAGCCAAGCAGCAAACTCATTTCTCTGGCTTCCCTCACTGATGACAAAATGATTTTCTCTCAGAAAAGAGAGAGGAAAACAATTTGAGGGGCTACAATCTAAGTCAAATTGCAATTTGCAAAACAAATTCTGCAGTTTTATCCTCAAATACGGCTGTATTGACCATGAAAATGGAACGTGACTAGAAGCCACCTGTAAACTCCCCAAGCCTGCAAAAGCACCCGATCCTTGCAGGATACAACATGGGATTTAACCACTGTGTAAGAACTGGAGGGTTTAGTGCCTCTGACTGCTGCTGGCCTCTCCAGGACTTACCCAAAGCCTTGAATTTCGAACCTCTAGAATTTATAACACTCAAGTGCTATAAAGTACTAGAGGCCAATACAGAATAACAGCTAGAAAAGTGCTTATTTTGACTGTTGGAAAAGAAGTCTGATCAGAATACAGGGAAAAGGTGACTTACCTACAAATCTGCTTAACTAAAGGCCCTTAAGCCAGAAGCAGCTCCTCTGGTTGAAGGTCCGAGGTGAGAAGTCTGCTGGTTTCTGCTAACTCGTCCACCAGCGCTGCTGGATGCTTCTGCCCCGCTGGAAAACAAACCCAAAAGGGAACGAGACAGAACAAACATCGTCCGAGCAAGTCACGAGAGGAGATTTTACTTCCAGAAGCAAAACGAATGGAAAAAAAAAAGAAAAGAAAAGAAAAAAAGACCGTGTAATCCAAGATTATCAAAAAGCTTCCAGCAACCCTAATGAATCCAAGTGGAGAGGTGGGAGAAGTCACTCCAAAGCTGTATTAAGATGAGTTCAAATGCCCTGGCTTAAATTCCACATGCGTTTCCCTGCTAGATAGTTCCTATCTGGGCCTTGTAGCAGGGAAAACAAACAAATTAAAAAGAAAACAAAAAAAAATGAGAGGTGCCTTGCCGCTCCATGACTGCAGAGGGCCAGGGCAATTTAAACACACTGACCACAAGCAAGCATAGTGATTGCTTAGACTGCAGCACGTCTGTGCTCAGCATTTACCAGCACTGTTCAAAGTGCTGCTTTGCTGGAATTTGCTCATCGTTAGCCTCGAATTGAACTTTCTGCAGCATGAAGATTCTTCTACAGTGCTTTTTTTAAAAATTATTCTTCTTCTTATAATTATTATTTTCCCTTCTTTTTTGGGGGAAACTAGAGGGGATGACACTGCATGTGCTGTAAGAGGCTGCAGTGTCAYGCAATGGAAAGGCAACCACCTTCTACTGGTGTATGTTGCCAGCAAGGAAGCAATGCTGGTTTTTCCAGCATTAAGTACAGCTTATAGCGGAAAAAAAAGAGAAATCCCTGCAGTGCAGGCTTCTGGACAGCACAATCCCACCTTTGAGAGTGAATCACTTAGCAAAGCGTAAGGATCCCAAGGCAGAAGAACAGCCACGTTGCCAAGAGCCTGATCCCAGGAGCCCCGGTACGGGATTCCCATTCCTGCAGGAGGCTCCGTCTTTGGCAGGAACGGGGCTTTTGGCTCTGTCCTTCTGGCTGGAGGGCGCGAGGAGCTCCCACAGGACCCTTGAGAAAAGAGCACACAGTGAAGGCACTGAAGCTGCTTAGCAGCAGAGAAGCAAAGGGCAGAGAGCAAGACAGCAAGGAAGCTGCTTTCCCTTGCCCACGGAAAGACTTTGCAAAAATCTATGGCATGGGAATATTTTGGGAAGTCTCACTGGGCACATAACCCCAATCCGTTGCCACGTGTTGCTTTCCTTCCCACTCGGAGCCCCAGCCACTTGGGATGACGGTGGGAACAAAGCTTCGGCACGACTGAAAACAGGATCTCCGGGGGCTGCCGCTTCCTTTCCCACCCGGAGCTGGTTTTAAGCCTGCCAAACTAGGGCTGGATCTGCTGCTGGTGCAAATGGTGGCAACCCCCTGGGCTTCACTGGCTCAATTTCAGCTTGCTCGTGGCTAGATCTGAAGGCACATCATGCTTTTTCTTACGTGCATCAGGTCTCTCATCTCTTTGTACCTCTTTGTTTCAAACAAAGCAAATAGCTCCATTTAAAACTSTCAAGATGAAATGTAGCTAAACAAAACGCTTGGATACTGGGCGCCCTTAAAAGCTGAGCTGCCCCCACGTAGACTTTATAGCGTTCAGGTTCTCAGTTTAGTTAAGTGGTTGCAAGGTTGCCCTCGAGCGAGTTGGTTCCCAGAGCCACGCGTGGGATCCCTCACGTGGCGGCACCGAGTCGGGTCTGCTCACAGGCAGGCAGAGCCCAGGATCTGGAGGTGGATGCAAACACCGACACGTGCAAGCGGTGTCACTAGTCCCACGGGAGCTCCCGCTTCCTGCGCTGCTCCTGACCTGCGCCTTCAAAGCAGGAAAAAGACAGGTTGAGGATTAAGTATGATCAGGTCCGGCCAGGAGACGGCAGCTCCTTTTCTTTCCTCTAACCAAGAGCATCCTTAGAGCCCGCCTGCTCTACCCACAGCACTAGCCTTAATTTTTCATGCATCGGCTGGAAATGCTCCCCAGCGACAGATGCACAAAGAGCTAAGGGAGCCTAAAGAAAACATCTGAGGATGCTTTAATGAGCACACACATCCTTTCCTTGCCACCCACCTCCCGAAATGCCGTTCCGTGAGGCAGGCCAACAGCTTTAGTAACAATCTTTTCTTCTCCAGGGTGGCTCTATGACTACACTCAGACATATGTCTGCTCTTTCCTGTTCGCCGGAGCCTGTGCTCTCATCTCACCTATTTCCTTCTTCTTTGAGCCTCTGGCCCAGAAATGGAAGCTAAAAAAAGACAGGCTCGGCAGAGCTCCTGCGCTCGGCTGAAGGGATCCTGCCGCAGTGGAAATTTTAAAGGGTTACTGGTTACTGCTGACGTGGACCCACCATCAGGGAGCAGTCGCGAGCCCAGAGCTTCTGCACCACGAAATGGCAAAAATTAAAATCTGTAGATTAAAAGTTAGTGCGTCTAGACTGGCTTTTACTGCGTGTGTGATTAAAGCGGCCTGAGAAATTACGCAGCATGAAAGTTTATTCAACAGGAATGGGTAATGCCCATGACCTAGGAGGACACAGCTGTGGCCAACTTTACCCCTGTCCCTTATCTCGTTGTAGCTCAGGTTTAGCCCCCACCTTGGTCCCGCTGGGTGTTACAGCTGCCCCTTAGCAAGTCACCACCGTCCCCCTGGCTGTCCCAGCCAGCGAGGGCCAGCGAGGCTGATGGATCTTTCAGGAGGAGGCAGCCAAGGTCCCTCAGCCCCAAACCAGCAGCAGGTTTGAGCTCCTTATATTCAGTTACGACACCACCCTCATGGAAGGATGCAAAGAGCCCCAAAAGGAAAAGGTTTAAGCTTCACAAAACCCCAGCAAAGCCACAAAACAGCAGCAATCCCACAAAAACCTGTTTTCAGCGAGGACTCTGCACGAGGACCGCTCCTTCTCCTCACCGCCCTGGCCACGGGGCTATTGGTCACAGCACTAGCAACCTGGAACCAAAAGCAAGCTTAATTAAAGCCAGTACATCAGGATGGCAAAAATAATATTAAAAAAAAAGTTTTTAGTGCTATCCCTGTGTGCGGCCAAGCTACCTTATGGGCATGGGATGGGCAAGATACAACACAGCTGCTTCTGTTTGGATTTTCTGCCCAAGATAGAGGATTTTGCATTATCACCAGCTATTTGAATTTATTATATAAATCTAGGGTTCTTCTAGGGGYTCTAGGGGTTATATAAATCCACTGTAGGATTTCTTTTTTTTAACTAAGCAACCATTTCAGCCTCAGGCCTGATTTTTTTTTAATGCAAAGAGTTGTTTCCCCTATAAAAGCGTTCATTTAAACTCTGCAGTGGATTATTTCAAGCACAAAATTAAAACAGCATACATTCAATAAAACACCACAGAACATGACAACAGTATGGAGGAGCTAAGGCCTTGCTGCAGGCAGGAAAATTTGCTCTGAGATAATGGGCCAAATTCAGCAGTCCTGCAACGAAGCGACTCCAGAGCTGTGCAGGCTTAAACCAGGAAAACAGTCTTGAATTTTTAGGGAATATAAATGCTTCAAAGTGCCTAATTTTTCAGAGCTCTGCTCACAGCTTCCTCCAACTCCTGCAAAAATCCGCAGGCAAAAATGCTTCAGAAATAGTCCTTTTGCTTCCTAACCGTGGCATCAAACACCGCGTTGTGTTGCGCCTGTATCATTTAATACTTGCATACCCAAGAACATCTCTCGTGGGTCATTTTCCAAGCAACTGGGGTTGAAAGATAAAAAAAGACTATTTATGAGGCCTCAAACGTGCTGGGAGAGGCACGGGGAGCAAATTAARGCCCGGCAGCAGCAGCTTCTGCTGTCGTAATAGGAGCAATTTGGGCTTTCACACCCCAGGCTCCTGTGGGTTTTCCACCCTGGAAGCTTCAAATAGCCCCAAATTCCGCATCTCTCCGACGCACCCGTGAGCTCAGCAGGGCTTTTAGCTGAGCAATGGTCCGGTGACCACCTTGGATGGAGAAGGGCCAGTATACCACGTCCCTAGTCTTGTTCCCACACGATTTATAGCACCGGCCTTCAAACTCCAGCCTCTTCCTTCCTCTCCCACTAAACAAGCCTGTTCCTCACCCACTGCTGCCCCAGTTTCAACACGGTCACAGCTKCCTTTTCAGCTCGCTGGCCACCAGGAAGGAGCTCCCAAAGGGAGGTGGCGTGACAGACCTTCTCCCCATCTGCTCCAGCAGACAGGCACCCTCCAAAAGCTCAGGGGGTTTCGAGGAAGGGAGCACTCGCCTGTGCTCTCCATCGGGCTACCCCCTGCTGCTGCTTTCCTTCCTTTCTTTGGGAAAAWCGAGTCTCCAAAGCACTTGCACCCTCCACAAAGGAGCAGCCAGCTCGGGAGCTGCTGTTCCCCATGGGATCTCATCCTGCTGGCAGCTGCCTTCAGCATTTGCTTGCAAAACTATTCCGCAGGGATAAAGTATGTTCCGCGAGCCCTCGGCTGCATGGCACTTCCAATGGCCTCTCCTCTCCCCAAAGAACCCGAGGAAACCCATCCCATCACGGCTTTGGGAAAAGCCCAGGAGTCCTGTGTGCACATCCTACCATCCAGCTGTGGCAGAGGGTAGACGGGAGGTTTCCAGCTTTTTGCTCCAGATGATCCCACAGGCTCCAGRTCATCTCCGTTGGCTCAGATGTGCTTTTCTTCTCCCATTTTTGTCTGGAAAGGAAAGCACAGAAAGGGCACTTTAGTTTTTCCTTGCAACCCCGACAACCTCAAGCCATTTATCTGCTTGCAAACCGCACCCCCACGCTGCACATTAGAGTGGCCAAGGATGGGAAGAACATCCACCTGGCAAAGGCTTCCCGGAGCATGGGATTTGTCCAGCAGGAAGTTTCCCGAGAGCCTTTCTGCACGGCAAAGGGAGCTGCATGCCAGTCGGATTAACCCAAGCAGGCTTTGCTGGGACACAAGCAGGTCCGCAAGAAACCCAGCTTTAATCTCCCAGCCCGCCTGGCAAATCCCCACGCAGGACGTGGCCCTGGGGAAAATGAACAGTAATAGCTGGAAGAAAAGGGACCCCTTAATTTGTAACAAATAAATAAATCATTCTCGTAAAGCTAAYGACAAACTCAGCTGAGTTCATTCAGCGGAAGGCCCTGCCGCCCCGAGCTCATCACCAGCGAGCTTTGCTATGAAAGTTGTCTTTTTTCTCATTAWTTTTTGCAAGAAGCCTAATGAAACAGCATCCGACAGGCCTTGTATTCCCCAGCTAGCCCAACGCCCTGAGTGCCTCCAGAAAGCAAAAAAAMCCACTACTTTATTTAGATTAAAAGTTTTCTTAGTAACAATAGAAAGGGAACTGGCAGCCTGAGTCCTGCTTAAATTTAGCACAGGACAAGGAAGAGGAGAACAAAACACAAACGCCATTCTATGCCGCGGGAAATTCTAGGAAATGATGCTGTGGTTAAGAATTAATGAGCAGCCGGTGGTTTGGTTTAGGCAGGCGAGGAATGTGTAATTCAAGGCCAATCAACCTGGCTGCAAGGTGGCTCTTCTTCATCTAAATTATAGAAGAAAAAAAAAAAAAAGAGGAAAAAAAAATATATATGCTTTTTTTTTCCCCCTTCCATAATTTAGTGATTTATTCTAGCACAGGAACAAGAATAAGAGTGCCCAAGACAGCCTAGGAGCTACATGTCTCTGGCCAAGGAGGACAGATGCTGCTGTCTCATTCCTAGTCGAAACGGCCTCCACGTGGGACGTCTCCTCATATCCCATTCGAATCCTGCTCCGTCCCCACTTCCCAAGCCATGCGAGCCCCACAGAAGTTATTTTGAAGGGACTGATTTAGGATGTGGGCACCTGTCGGACCTTAATGCAGCTCSGCATGTTCTACAGCCAGGATAATAACCTGGTTTAAGACGTTTTGGGCTCTTCCTATAGAAACTCTGGAAGTCAGCGCAATTGGAGAGCACACTGAAGACTCCGCTTCCCAAATCCTTAGCTCACAYCAGAATTACGTGCTATAAAAGCCCAGTCATCAACAGCTGTTTAGGGCTCTGGCATCAGCTGCGAGCTTCCCTTCCTGCTGCTTCATCCATGGAAACCCCATGGAAAAGGGGCAAGTCTCAGGTTAAGTCCATTTTCTTGATGTCTTCGTTGCATTAAACACCAAAAAACTCCAATCACCAATTGCCTCAAGTGATACCTGGAGAATTGCTCCTCACCAGCATGAAGTTCTGCAGGACACGTGTTGGCTCTTGGCTGAGAAAGGAAAGTCTAGGTCATGCTGAGGACAGTTTCAAGGAGATGCTTTCCAACAGCTCCATGGACACCAGTCTACTTATTTATTAAATGGGGACGCACAGCACATCCCAGACTAGGTGCTGCATCTAACTAGGCTTCGGAGAGCCCTGTTTTCACCCTTCCTGGGAAGGGCAGAGCTCGATAAGGCTACGACAACAAGGTCTTCCAGCAACAGCAAGCTGGGCAGCTCCTCCTCCGCTGCCCGGCAGATACCGCGCGCGGTTTCACTGTTTGCTTGTCCTTACACACACTGATAACAAGAACGCTCTGTGGTTTTTCCTCTTTTTTGGGTGTTTCTTTCCCACCCTGCCTGGAACAYGTCCCATCAGTTGGATACAGGCTGTGGAAAGCTCTTACGCTGCAAGTCAGTAAAGCCCAAGTGAAGACTCGCTTCTAGGCAGAGAGCTTCCATAAAATGCAAGATTTTTTTTTTTAAGAAGCCTTTAAAATCCATCTCACTCTTTTCACTGGCATCCACAAGGATTTATCACCCATTCCAACGGGAATAATTAAGATGGAGATGTTTAAAAATCCTCCCAGAAGATTTAGCTTTAACACACAGATCGAAGGAGCCTGATCCTCACTTTAAAGGTCCCGAATCTGTGGCGAACACAAAGATCAACGGCTTTTGGTCGAGTCCATGCGAGGGCTTTCAAAAGAGACGTAATTCAGGGGTCAAAGTGTCCTTTTCCAAAGTGATTTAGAGACTTTGCCTCCTAAGTCACGGCCGAGCTTTTACAAGCCTTCCCCACAGGTATGACCCACCTGGGGAGACGGGGCAAGGAACACGCTCTGGCTTGGAAGAGCCAAAGGGCGACTTTATGACACGCAAGTGACTAAAGCAGCTCTAATAAATCCCTCTCTAATCCCTCGAGCTTTCAGCCGAGCAATGAAAGGGAGCTAAGGACAAAAGAGCCGAGGGGAAGGCAAGTCTCATGGAGGCGACATCTACAGCCACGTTCTCTGGAGCCCAATGAGCACCAGCACCAACCCGGGCCGCTGCTGGAGGTGCCTCCTCGCGCGTCTCGGCTCC